CTAACTTTTAGACTCTTAGTTGAAATTGGGGTGATTGCACCACCCCCGGATTATAGGTATCAGAGTAAGGGGTAAAAGACTTCTTGTACATACCTAAGGCATTACGTTGTTCCTCATACATCCCTCTCATCTTAGAAAGTGTGAGACATTCTTAGGCGAGGTGATCTACTTTGCCACACTCAAAACATGGTCTAAAAAACTCTGCATGATTAGCCACGTGTGTTAGCTTTAGGTCCTTAGTATTTAGCATATCTAGCTCCCTAGTGAGCATCTCAACCTTAGCCTTTAGGCTATCATCTTCACTGCGATGGTAAATTCCACCACCATTTGGGTTTCCTATAGTTTGTGACCTATTTGTGCTTTCAGTAGCACTAGGTCCAGTCCAAGTGTGAGTTTTTTTAGCAAGCTCATTGAAGTATTCTATGGCCTCATCAAGATCTTTTTGTAAGAACTCACCATTACACATCATCTCCACAAATTGGCGTTCTCTAGGTGTAAGTACCTCATAAAAATAGTTCACTAAGTGCTAATTCTCATACCCATGGTGAGGACACACACTCAACAACTCCTTAAATCTCTCCCAAGACTGATACAAAGTCTCACTGTCCTTTTGTGAAAAGGTGGAGATTTTTCTTTTTAAAGCGTTGGTCTTATGTTGGGGAAAATATTTATTAAAGAAGACTTGAATCATCTCACTCCATGACCCAATAGATCATGGTCTTAGCGAGTATAACCAACTCTTAGCTCTATCTTTCAAAGAGAGAGGAAAGAACTTAAGTCTCACAACATCATCAAGTGCAATTTGATTATGAAAAGTCGCAACTACTTTCTCAAACTCCCTAATGTGCACATATGGATTTTCATTTTCCAAGCCATGAAAATTAGAGAGTAACTGTATCATCCCTGTTTTAAAATCCATTTAGCGAGTATTAGCTAGAAACATGATGCATGATTGTGTGGCTGTGCGTGTAGGGTGGAGGTAATCATGAAGTGTTCTAATGGGTTGATCTTCATGTTCACCCATTTTTTCGGGACTCGATGGATTTTCAAATAAAGGATTTAAAAAATCTGATTCTAACTCTACCANCTAATGGGTTGATCTTCGTGTTCACCCATTTCTTCAGGACTCGATGTATTGTCAAATAAAGGATTTAAAAAATTTGATTATAACTTTACCACAGGCCTATGAGCAAATATACCCAAGGCGTCTCTATATCTGTGCATGCAAAGCAATGAAATACTAAAAGAATAAAAATACTATGAAAAGAAAGAAGAAAAATAATAATAATAACAATGCAACAAGCTAAAAGAAGGAATGAAGTTACCGCTTTTGTAAATTGTTGAAAAGAAAAAAAAAACTATATTCTATCGTCTCCCTGGTAACGGTGCCAAAATTTGATTATGCCCAAAGAATAACATAGTAGCTGTAACACAGCTTTGATGTATCGATTCCACATAGGAACAAATTAAAAGAATAGTAAAAGGAACAAAAAAACTAAAGAAAAATATTAAATGATTACTAAAGAATAAAGATTAATTTTAAATGCAAATTAAAGTGAAACAAAGTGATTAACAGAAAAAGTACTCAAATTTGATAAACAGTACAGCGTTGGGAATCCCTTATACAAAACTGGTATTTTAATTATTCTTAATTCATTGAATAACTCAATTGGGAATTCAATTCTTAAAATTTTCAACCGGAAGGTATAGATTTATAAACCAAGATTAAACCACATGCAACCCTTTGAAAAATCATTCACCACTTTGAAAATACGTAAACTATTATCACTATTGAGAAAGTCCAATGACGACAATATACTTAAGAAGTGATATTGCAACAAAGAATTAAATCAATATAGAAAAATAATTGATCCAAACATAATCAAAGAGCTAATCCATTCAATAGAAAAAGCATGAATAAATTCATAAATAGAATATATTCTATGATTATTCGGAGAAGAAAACATCAACAATAAATTGAGAATGATAAAACAAAAGAGTTTTACTAATTAGAAATTAAATGTATAAATTAAAAATAAATAAAATATCATCTACTATGCAAATTCATCCCTTGCGCTTACATGAGAATTAATTACCTATAGATATAATGGACAACAAAAAAAAAAACCGGCAGCCATCAGAGTCCTCCTCCCTGATCTGCATCCATCCCCTAAAGAGAAAGAATAGCCGCCTCCCTCTGTTTTTCTTCCAGCCGCCCAAGCCAAAGAAAAAGCAAGAGTTAAAGGTCAATGCCCCCTTTTTAAAAAAAACCTTTTCCTCACCACTTAATTCCAGCTCCTCTATTTCAGCCACTAAAGCGCAAACTGTACGTATTTAGGGAAGCTAAAGCCCAAATTTGTTGAGTGAGGATCCACGTGACTGCAATATCAGTTTCAATTTTTTTACTCTATAGGCTATTATCAAAATAAAAAAAATATATAAAAATCAAATAATAAAGTCCAAAAAATATTAAGTGTAAAGTCTAATTGTAAATTATCTCTCACCAATCAAGAATACAATATTTAAGATTTAAAATATTATAAAATCATGCTAAAATATATTTCACTGTGAATATATATTAAATTCAATAATATAAATTATATGTAATTATTTCTATTCATATTTAACATTTTAATCCAATAATAGGTTATTTAAAATGTATTTTTGCACACTCATCACACCCAACAACTTTCTGGCTGTAACCTGCTAAACAACGACCATTATGATCTCTTACCACACCACTCCTAACCCGGAGCAATCAGACGAATGAAATAATGCCCCATCAAAATTAACTTTGCAACTTCCAACCGGGAGAGCAGTCCAACTAGTAATCTGAAGACTATCGATGTGAAAATCCTTTTCTAAACCTTGATTATGAATAGAATGATATTGGAGGAGGTAATTCTTTGAAAATTCAACCACTTCAAAAGGCACCTTAGAACACTCCTCCACTCTCACCTTATTCCTATTGTACTAGATGGGCCAAGCTAAAGTGATTACCGATGCATCCTGTTCGTCAAAAAGATTTTCCAAAATGAAGACTAGCCATTCTTCAATAGTAGACAGCCTACCATGTGGATAACAAACACCGGCAATCTTCCAGAAGGCCTTTGCAAAGGGACATCCCATAAATAAATGGAAAGATGACTCGTAAGAATCCCCACACATGAAACATTCATTAATAATAACTTGGACTCTTCTCCTTTGTAAATTGCATAGAGTAGGCAGAATGTCTATAAACAACCTCCAAACAAAATTAATTTTGTTTGGCACTTTAAGAGAGCAAATAAAGAGATCCGGCCATCTATCCCCTCCTCTACTCGTAGAACTAGAATCATGATGAAAACCAATTAGATTTTGTTCAATCGCTAAATGATAAGCACTTCAAACCGAAAAATGGTCATATTTCATATAATACCATTGTAGTCGATCTTCCGGTAAATGTGGACAAATTGGGATGGAAAGAATCTCTTGAACTTCAAAATCCAAAATTTTGTTGTCGAAAGTAGCCCAATATTCCAACCTTTATTCCCATTATCAATAAGGAAATTGACTTTTGTATCCGCATAGAGATCAAGCAGATGACTCATAAGCTTGACAAAAAATGGTCTAGGAATCCACCTACCATATTTTACTCTTATACTTTGACCATCCCCAATTCTCCATCTCAAGCCTGCTTCTCCAATTTTTCTAGATACTAATATGCTCCTCCAAGAATATGAAGGATTAGACCCAAGACGAGATTCCATCAATGAGCAAGAAGGAAAATATTTGGCCTTAAGAACTTGAGAAAGTAAAGAATCTGGATTATGAATGAGCCTCCAGTACTGTTTCGCTAGCAAGGAAAGATTAAAAACTACAATATTATGAAAACCCATAACTCCTTTCAACTTTGATAAATACAACTTTTCCCAGGAAATTCAATGGATTTTCTTACTTTCATCAGAATGATCCCACCAAAAATTAGTCGTAAGGCTATCGATTTCAGAGCAAAAGGAAGCTGGGAGTTTAACATAGGGCATGGAGGATGTAGGTATTGCTTGCGTCACAAAGATTTAATCAAAACATCCTTCCCAGCACATGAAAGAAGCTTACCTTGTCAATCTTGAACTTTAGCTCAAAACCTTTGCTTAATATTGTCAAACATCTGCTTCTTCGTTCTCCCCAATACTGAAGTCAAACACAAATATTTCTCATGGCTCAAGACAACCGTTAAAGCTAACAATTCGAAAACCGAAGTTCTCTCAGCAAGAATAACATTATTAAAAAAAAAAAACAAGGATTAATTGCACCTAGAGGTCCACAAAGTATGAGTTTTGTCTCATTTTGGTCCCTAATAGTTCAATTACATCATTTTAGTCCCTGAAATATTAAATATGTTTTTATAGGGTCCTTCAAGCAGACAAAATCCAAATTACTAATAATTTTTTTATCATAAACTTGTCATGTAAAACTTAAATATGGGCAAAAAATAATTTTGATAGCTCTTAAAAAAAATTTAGATAACTCTTGACAAAAAGATGTGTAATATAGGTAGTTTTTGAATAAAATTTGGATAGCTCATGATTAAAATTGTGTAATTTAGATAGCTATTGAACCAAAATTTGAGTAGAAACTTAATCAAGAGTTATCCAAATTATTTTTTTGTTAATATTTAAGTATCACGTGACAAGTTTATGATAAAAAATTATTAGCAATTTGAACATTGTTTACTTGTTAGACCATATAGAAACATATTCAATACTTCAGGGACAAAAATGATGTAATTGAAATATTAAAGAACAAAATGAGACAAATTTCATACTTAAGGGACCTCCAGTATAATTAACCCAAAAAACAATTTCGGATTTGGATATATTAATAGTCTGACTTAATGCTTTCTTATAAAGAGAGAAACAATTTTTGATCCTCTCAGCATTGTACTTGTTTGCTCTTGCGAAAAATAAGCTATCATCCGCAAAGTGTAGACGTGTGAACATTGGATCACGTCTTGGTAAGCACTAAATTCCTCCTCCATCTTCTTCCCTCTTTAGAAGTTTCAGGATTCCTTCAGAAAACAATAAGAATAAATGAGAAGACAACGGATCACCTTGCCTTAAACCCCTATGTGAAAGAAAATAACCAATTTGATCTCCATTCATGATTATTGAGTATGATCAGCCGGACGAAAACGAGACATTTCCTCTTGAGTGTTCACTTGGGAATAAAAACAATATGAGTATAATTGATTTTCAGACAAAAATGACCATTATTCAGAAAATCTAAAACCAGCTCTGAAACTTGGCTTCCAACTACTCCCCAAACACCTTTGGTAAAAAAACAGGCGCCATACCATCTGCACCGAATGCTTTCAAATGATGAAATTGCATGACAGTTGCAACCACTTCATTGGAAGTAAAAGGTTGAAGTAGCCTAGAATTCATAACCTATTACACTTGTTGTGGATGATTTTAGAAGTTAATTTGATGAATTTGAATATAAATTGGATGAATTGAATTTTAATTTGGTGTTAATTTTGATGAATTGGGTTTTAATTGGATAAAATTTGAATGTTAATTTGATGGATTTAAAGTTAACTAATTGAATTTAAATGAAAATTTGATGAATTGAATGTTAATTTTGTGTTAATTTGATGAATTGAATATTAATTGGATAAAATTGCATGTGTATTTTGGTTTTGATTTGATAAATTGAATCTTTACTAGATGATTCTAAAAATTAACTTGATGAATTAATTATTAATTGGATGAATTGAATGTTAATTTTGTGTTAATTTGATGAATTGAATATTAATTTCATCAATTTAATATTAAATAATTGAATTTGATGAATTGAATGCTTATTAGATGAAATTTAATGTTAATTTGATGAATTAAATATTTATTGGATGAAATTACATGTTACTTTGGTGTTGATTTGATAAGTTGAATTTTTATTGAATGATTTTGGATGTTAATTTGATGAATTGAGTGTTAATTAAATTAATTTTATTATCAATTGAATGAATTGAATATTAATTTGATGAATTAATTATTAATTGGTGTTATTTTGATGAATTTAATGTTAATAGTTGAATTTAAATGTTAATTTGATAAATTGAATGTTTATTAGATGAAATTAAATGTAATGTTAATTTGGCGTTAATTTGATGAATTAAATATTTTTTGGATGAAATTTCATGTTAGTTTGGGGTTAATTTGATAAATTGAATATTTATTGGATGTTGTAAACACAAATTAAATATTTTAGGTGCTAAACTGATAACATTGATACTTTAAAAATCAATTTGACAAAACGTGCATACTTTAGGAATAAAAGTATTATTAACCCATTTGTTAAATTAGGATCGATCATTCCTACTTATGACCGGTCGTATGAATAAATAGTTATGACTGATCCTAATTTAAAAAAGATGGTTTAACCTTGCTTCTAAAAAGTGGTAACCTTAATTAAAAGATGCTAAACTTACCCCCAAAGTGATAGCCTCACGTTCCAAAATATGCTAGCCAAATCCCAAAATGTGTAACACACCCAAAAATGTGTAATATCCCCCTAATGATGGTAACCTCATCCAATAGAATGGTAAACTCACCTAAAATGTGTTAACTCAACTCCAAAACGTGATAACGCAACCTGAAAAAGTGGAAATGTCACCCCAAAACATGGTAACCACATCTCATAGAGTGGCAAATCCACCCAAAATGTGCTAACCTAACCCCAAAATGTGATAATCAAACCCAAAAATTGGTAACTTTGTCCAAAAGGTGTTAAGTTCATTCATAAAACGTGCTAACTAAAACCAAAAACGTGGTAGCTCACACCCATAAAGTGATAACCTCACTCCAACAATACCAGAAAATGTTAATAACGTAATCTCACCCCCAAAATGTGGGGTTAGTGCACCCACAAAGAGTATAACCTTATCGTAAAAAGTTTAAGTGTATCTTTTTGTTTAAAGATAATATTACCTTAATCTCAACCTAATTAATTTAGGGTAATGCTATGGGGACTTAATTTTTGGACCTAAATAAATGATCTAACGATGTGGCAGCTGAAGTATCCTTACCAACTCAGCAACTTAAGCCACCTAATTTCTTAAAAAAAAAAACTTAAAAAATCAACAACTTAAAAAAATCTGATTTCATCAAAAAATCAGCCTTCTTTTCACATTCTCTCTCCCCGAATAAGCACACTTTCTTCCCTAAAGCCCTAAAATTTCTCCTCCTCCTGAACTTCGACAAAGTACCCCAATTGCTAATCTTCAATCGACGCCGGCCGCATGAACGACGAGCTTCTTCATTGGAAAAACCAACCTGAACAACGAGCCACAAGCAGTAAACCGATCCATTCTTCATCTTCCTTAGTAATCATCATCTTAGATCACGTCGGTGTTCTTCCTCCTTGTAAACCAACCCATTGTCTAGTAAACCAACGAGTCACAAGTAGTAAACCAACGAGCCACAAGCAGTCAACCAACCCATTGTCCAGCACCATATCAACAGTCCTATGAATTACAGATGAATATTTTTTTTTAACTGATTTGTTGATGAAAATGGGGACCGCGGTTTGTGTGCTTGAAGTTGGGTATTTTGGGAGGAAAGGTTTGTGTAGGAGTCTCAAGATTGATTTCGCTTGCAAACTATTCAATGAATTGTCTATGTAGCACTATGTTGTATTGGACATTGTAAAATCTATTGTAAATTGTTTTAGAATTGATGGGTTGTTGTTTGGGGAAAAACAGTTGTAAATTCTTATAATTGATGGAGAATTGATGGATTATCATATTGAACAAAACCTTGGCAGTAGCTACATAGGTCTGCCTATGGTGAGATCCAAAACTGATTTGGTTTTTGATGATGGTGGCTAACTCTTTTCAAATGGTTTGGTGTGGGATGCGTTGTATAGGCTTAATGCANATGGTGAGATCCAAAACTGATTTGGTTTTTGATGATGGTGGCTAACTCTTTTCAAATGGTTTGGTGTGGATGCATTGTATAGGCTTAATTACCTTGGTTTGTTAAGAGTAGCCTGGGATTAATGTTGGTGGCAACTAGAGATTTTGAAGGATTAAAGCCAAGAAATGGCTTACCTGTTTGTAAAAATGCTTTGATACATTTGAGGTTTGTATTATTTGATATCTTGGTTGTTGTAATGCTTTGTTGCAGTTTGATTCTTGTAATCTTTGATTCATATCAATACAAAAATTTCTTTACCCAAAAAAAAAAAAAAAAGAAGCAACCACTCAAGTATAAAAAGAACAACCACAATGCACAACAAAATTGAGGAGGAAAGATCATTGCCTTTGAAAAATCCAAGGAACAACCACACAAACCAGTTTTTTTTTTTATGAAAAGAGAATTTTATTGAATAAATCTCAAATTTACAAGAATCAAAAAACAGAAAAACTGTTAAAACACAAAATAGAATTTTGATGCCAAAAACTAGACAAAACAGTATAAAATTCCTCCTGTACAGCTGCTGCAAATAGACCAGCCTCTGAAAACCTCTATTCAACTACAATGCCTGCAAAAACCTACTAAGCATCAAGCATGAGTCATTAAAGAGGTAAAATACCTCTGTCAACAACCCTTTTTAATTTGGCAGTAGACAGTAAATTTTGATCCCTCTATAACAGCATCCTTCCAACAAGTGGTAAGATACCACAACCTAAAAAATTAGTATAAATCCCATTCTAAACAGCTAAGGATGCTAAAAAAATCAGCCATCACATTAGCTTCCCTATAAACACACTTAATCTGCACCTACAAAATGCCCAACAAACTTATGATCTTGTCCAAAACAGCCTGCAACCTCCAAGGTATCTCTGCCTTCTCTAACACCATATGTACAAGTATTTGAGAATCAAATTCAACAAGAATCTGATACTTTGCAAGGCCATACTGCAGAATCAAATTAATTCCATGCAGTAAAGCTAGACATTCAGGAACCACAGAAACTAGTAGCATTCATACAACCACACAAATCCAAGGAACAACCACACAAACACACAAACTAGGATCATTGCCTGTGTAAAATAGACACAAGTCATACAGTTAGATTTTGATGATAAAATTAACCAAGTAATAAAATTAAGCAAATTTTCAAACCATAATAATGTATTATTAAAAGGCGAAATTCAACCCTTAAATTATATTATAAATATCCAAAGTATCCAAAAGTATTAGAACAATACAGCATTGGTAAAGCAAATGGACACAAAATACTAACTACAGTCTTTCTCTTGCACAACTAGGTAATCTTTTTCTTGCATAACAATGCAAATCAATACCACCATAGCAATAGAAATCACGGCGGATGGACTGGGTAACACAAAGTGGACACAAAACACTAAAATCTTCCTCTTGCAAAACTAGACAATATTCCTCTTTTCTATACCTGCTATAGGGAAAAAAAAATAGTACAATGAATGGTTGATTCAAGTTTAAGAACAAAAACTTAACTTTTGAATAAAAAAACAAAAATTCCTAAATTTCTCTCCAACTCAATAAATATACTTGCCATTTGACATTGATGTTGAAGACGTAATTGGCAATTCTAAAAATGTCTACCATTTCTTTGGAGCTAGAACAAGGCACAGGGTGCATACCCTATTCACCATCGCAAGAAAGATATTGGTTATGGTAAACAATAATAAGAAATTTCATAAATTGAAATTATAGGACAACCATTAAAAAAACAAGAACTTATATAATGAATCTTAGATTGCTAACCATGAAATGATTTCCAAGACCTCTTTGAGTGACCCCCCATAGCAAGGCCATATTGTTCTATCACACAAAAAAAAAACAGTAGATTAATACAATAAAAAAAAAGTTACGATGTCAACAAGATAACAACATATACAATTTTCATAACTCACATTACAAAATTGCAAAGAGGAGTATTGACCATCACTTATGCCAACATTAACCGTTTGTGTAATCCGCAAATCCTACATGTTTAGAGTTAAAAAATTAAGACAGATCACAATAATAAATAACATTCAAATATTATAATTATAATTTGGTTGTTGATGTCATACTGTCATCCCAATACTTTCTTGTGTTCCAAGTACATCAATCGCTTCACTCGTGGGTTGACCATCAACAAATCCAATGGCATCACTTTCACTTGGTCGACAATCCTACAAAAAATAAAATAACAAAAGGAAATAATTACTATATTATTATTTTAAAAGTTTTCATTTTATTCACACCTCTTCTCCTTTAGTGGTATGATTTCCATGCGATAGCGTCTTCTTTTTCGTTTTTCCTTTTTTTTTCCTTGTAAATTCTCAACTTTTGATTGCTTCTTTTGAATGGTGGACTGCCTTTGCTTCTAACTGCTAATGGAGTAAGTATATTCCTATCCTTTGATATATCATTTACATCACCGGAGTTTCTACCAACAATCGAGCAGGGAGTTGGTTGATATCTTCCACTACCTCTTTCATTTTGTTGTAGTTTCTCCTTTAAATCATATATACACTCTATCACAAACGTGCACTTATCTTCATATTCAGCCGCCAAGCTTGCCAACTCGCTAAAAGCATTGCACATTTTATCAAATTGTTCTGCTTCAGGTGTGGCACTCAAACAGTTATAACTGATTTTAATCTTTGTGTGACTTCTTTTCACATCCTTCCTCTATCTCCGTATGATGTACTTATGATGAGCGCATAATATTGTATATTTTACGGCCTCAGTACATGAATTTTAAATAAACTTTTGCATCTAAGTACTTAGAGTTAGCCGAAATTATGAATAATGTTGAATTTTCGATATTGCAGGCAATTATACCTTAAATGATGGATTTTAGAACCTTGAAACTAAGTGTGGAGGAGTGGTGAAGATATGTATACATTACATGAGGATTTGGAGGCTTAAAAATGAAAGAAATCAAGGAGGTATTGGTGTTTGGTAACATAGGCATCAGTAGCCACACCATTTTGCAGAAGTACCTCGGTTTTCCTCCTTTTTGACAATGATCCACTTCAAATCTGAAGACGTACAAAACATGAAAGTTGTATGTCTGGATGTCTTATGTATGGTTTAAAAATTTCAACTCAATTGGACGGTTGGATCAAATGTTATGACAATTCTACAAAAACTGGTTCCAAAGCAGCAGAGTGTACCGGTACGCGTACCGGTACCCCGAACTCCAGTAGCCAAACCGTACCGGTACGCTGCCCAGAAGTGCCCAGAACACTTGCATTCATGCCCCACTTGCTTGGGGGTCCCACCTACACATCTCCCACACCTACCCCAACATTTTCTGCACATTTTCATGCCTCCTACACCATAGTTGAAGACTTTTGAGTCTTGGCATTCAATGAGGAGAAAGAGAAGGGGTGAATCCTAGGAGTGCAGGCTAAGCCTGTGATAGCCTACATTGCCCATCCATTTAGTGCCCTATTGATGGGAGGCCTTTCACACAGACCCTAGGGACCCTCATGGACGAAAAATTGCAAGGCTCTTCACCATATATTCAACATTCAACAAAGATTTTTGGAGGTGGCTACCTAAGTTTAGAAAGCTCCAAGGAGGAAGATGATTAATAGTAGATAGAAAACTTGGATTTTTGCATTTTCTTCCATCGTTTCACTTGTATTTTATTGTAAGACTCTTGTAAACTTCATTATTTATTTTTAATGTCATTTATTTCAAGTGCTTTGCAAGTTTAATTGAGTATCTTAGTTTCTACCATTGTTGTCTTAAGTTTTCTTCATTTCCTAGCTTTAAAATGGGTATTGCATATTTTTCTTCATAGTTTAAGATTTCTTGCATTACGTTAAGTTTCATGTTTCCTTTTTTCATTATGTCTCTTTACATTATGCATTTCCCTCTTGCTTTCATGAGTAGATTGATTTTTAGTTGGCTAATCCAAGGGAGACCTCCTCTTGGGGTTTGCCATTTCAACTCATTTTCTTTCCTCCTCTCGGTGTACGATAGTTCGGTTTAACTGGGTTAAGGGTGGAGAGATGGTGAGCCTTTGATATTCCATAGGCCTGGTCACGATTTATATTTAGATACTCATTCCATCTCGTCCATACCTTCCCATGAATCAATCGTTCATCTATGCACCATTGGAGGAAGGTTTCGAGTTGAATTGGCCCTCCCATTGGAATGACCTCTTTAGATTAGCCAACACTTGTTTTCCATTGTATTTTCATTTACAAAAACTCCAATTACCAAAACACAAACAAAAGATGTTACATTTTCTCCTTTTTTCACAAAATCATCTTCACCACACTTGAACTTTCCTTCCCCTGAGGAGACGACCTTGAATTACTTTTTCAAGTAAAACAATGACACACAAAAGACTCTTGCACTTGGGGAGCACTTTTGTTCACAACACACACACTTTTTGTGCATTTACACATCATATTGCTATCATTTCATTTTACCCCATCTCCTTGCCCTTTCTTTTGACATCACCCATAGGAGAGTGACACTCCCCCTCATCCATAAACTATACATGCTAAAAGGTGATGTTTAGAGGTTAGAAAACTACAAGGAATTTTGTCAAGCAACTTATCAGGAAGTGAGTAAATATTTCTACAGACTAACACTGCCACTGCATGCTTGCATAATATTCCTCTATACTCAAACAATCAACAATTGCACTTCACTTCAGAATCTTTTTCATTGAACCAAACCTTGAAATTTGCACTCTTTTTTTTCTCCTCAATCATGATATCCTCATATATGTCTTATTCAAAAATCAAACCTTCCACTTTGACCGAAATCAAATCACAATATATCTTCCCTGTCAATTCGCTTTGGAACTCCTTAAATTTTGAGATAGTGTAAACTCCTTGAACTTGTTTCTCCATGTCTTAATGGGTTTACACAAGGGACTTGCGAAGACAAAGACTTATATTCTTCCTGGTTCTCCTTTTCCACCTTACTTTTCAATGTATTTTCATATTGTTCGACAAATTATTTCATGGTAGTCTTAGAGTTGACATAGTCATCAAAGAATGAGTTCATACTCTCACTTCGTTGTGTTGTAGACATTCCCGCCCAAAAAATGGTTCTCACAAAGATCGACACCCAACAACGGCTCTCATTGTACAACCCACTCAACCAATCATTATTATGTAGCATGTACTTTTCAATCATTCCATTCCAACATTCTTTAAATTCAGTACAACTTAATGAATCATAAATGGCCCTCTACAAGAAATATTTGATGGATTCATACTGCTCATAACCTCTCAACTTTTCAAGCAATTTCTTCATTATGTGCTGTAAGCACCATCGATGTTTAGCATTATGAAAAACAATCTCAACTATTTTTTGCATGGCTTTGTCTTGATCGGTAATTATGGCATGTGGAGCTTTCCAAGACATACATGCAAGCCACGATTGAAACAACCAAGTAAATGTTTCTATGTCTTCACTGGAGATCAAATCACATCCCAGCAAAGTCGATTGCCCTTGATGATTGACACCTACAAATGGAGTAAAGGGCATGTCATACTTATTTGTCAAATATGTACTATCAAATGTAATAACATCACCAAATTCTTGATATGCTGCGCTACTCCTCACATCAACCCAAAACACATTCCTTAACCGACCCTCATCATCCAAATCCATTGTATAAAAGAAATTTGTATTTTCAGCGTGCANCTGCCCTACTCCTCACATCAACCCAAAACACATTCCTTAACCAACCCTCATCATCCAAGTCCATTGTATAAAAGAAATTTGTATTTTCAGCATGCATCTTTAAGAAATACTTTTGTATTGCCAAGACATCTCCTTCCCCGAGCTGTAACCGCCTTATTTTCTCAATATAGTTTTTACAATCCTTCTCTAAAAAGGAGATATTTGCATGTCCCCCAGCTTCAACCACAAACGAGGTAAAATTTTTATTTACTCTAATTCTCGCTCGATCGTTCAATTCAAGCTTCCTTTTCACATGTGGTCTCATCACTCGATTACATCGAAAAAATCGGGCTTTGCTTAAACTCAACTCATGGTTATGATCAAGCATGACAATGTTCAGTCGCCACTTTCCATCTGCACACAAAATTGCTAGGACCTTAGCCTTACAACCTACTTTTATGTTGGCATGTGCTTCAATGGATTTTTGGAAGTGGACTTTGACTTGACTGATCGAGAACAAGCAATACTCACGTATTTCAACTCACCATCATCCACTTTTGTTGATGATCTTATCTTCACTTGGAACCCTAACCGCTTACCATAACCCGTGTAATACTCAAGCAATTGTTTATAATTTTCGACCATCATACCAACCCTAGGCTCGTCTACTTCAATTATATTTGTCATTTCAATCACAACATTTTCTTCTATCAACTGCAAACTACTTGAAGATTCACCTTCCATTGTAATAAAATTTTACTACAACACGTGTTTTGTTGATTAACCAGAATTTTGTCTAACGCAAAATATGCCTGAACACCATAACAAAAGAAATTTATTTATGCTCCAAAATAACCAACAAAAGGAAATGAATTGTTTTAGTGTTTGACAAATCTATAAATCAAACCTTTGTTTGTATATATATATATATATATATATATAAAAATAAATAACTAGAAATATAACAATAAAAAACAAATTGAATCAACCTCCAATTACTACCCAAAAAATAAAAAAAATAAAATACACGTACTATAGAGCCGACTATGGTGGAGTCAATTTCGACAGATGTTCGGGACAATGTGTACTTCGGCAAAGAGATAAAGAGGGAATAGAATGGCTATGACTTCAATGAAGAGATGTAGTCAACTGGAAGACGAGGAGGAAGAACACCGGCTTTGATTTCAGATGATGATTACTAAGGAAGATGAAGAATAAATCGGTTAATTGCTTGTGGCTCGTCGTTCAGGTGGGTTTTTCCAATGAAGAAGCTCGTTGTTCATGCGGCTGGCGTTGATTGAAGATTAGCGATTGGGGTACTCTATCGATGTTCAAGAGGAGGAGAAATTTTAGGGCTTTGGGGAAGAAAGTGTACTGGTTCGGGGAGAGAGAATGTGAAAAGAGGGCTGATTTTTTGATGAAATCAGATTTTTTTAAGTTGTTGATATTTTAAGGTTTTTTTTTTTAAGAAACTAGGTGGCTTAAGTTGCTGAGTTGATAAGGACACCTCAAATGCCATATCATCAGGTCACTTATTTAGGTCCAAAAATCAGGTCCCAATAGCATTACCCATTAATTTATAATCTCTTAAATGGTTCCATAGGGATCAAAAAAATTGTGAATGAACTCTGCTACTAATTTTCTTCTTTGTCCGTCTTCGCCTTCGGTTTCTTCTTTTCCTTTCTTTTATTTTTTTATGAAAATGTTTTCGCCTTTTATCTCATTTATCTACTGAGTGAATAACCGATAAAAGGTGAAACATTGTTACTTTGTTTCATCAGTGGTTGTAATTTATTCGTTGTGGATCAATGACCCATATTCATTTAGCGGTTCAGTATCGAAAAAGAATTTTAGGTACTGTAAATGAACCCTAATGTAAATATCCCTATTGGCTGGTGGATAAATTTTCATCCCAGTCCTCAAGCCCCTTTGATGGTATTAAATTATATTCATATAAATGATATTTTTAAAATTTGTTGGGCCCATTTTAATTGAGGTAATTCAAGAGTCAAATGGGGGTTTAAATTTTTGTCCAATGAAATCTTATTTTTTTATTGTCGACTTTTTTGTTGCCATGTTTGTATCCTTATGCTCTCATTTTTATATTGTATCATGTCTCTCTCCTTATCCTTGTTGATGTCTCTGGATTTTGCAGATGTTAGATTTATAATTGGATATAAATAATAAAAAACATCTTTTTTTTATTTTTTCCGTGCAGGTGCAAAGGAAAGAGTAAACAATGCAAAGGGAGAAAGTAAAATGTGCATTAAGAGAATATATTTTTTTATTTGGTTAGGTATTTCATATTTCTATTATGTAGTTTAACTTTGTGCATTTAAAAAATTTCGAAAGTTATGTTTCGTGATAGATGTTCTCTCTTTATGAATGTTAGAATAATTTTTATATTTTTTGGCTTTTATTTCGTGTTATAAATTATTTTTTCCAAAAGTAGGTTAATTTGGAGAATTTGTCATGTAATAATAGGCAAATACTTTTTGCTGCGTAAGTAGGGGTGTCCATGGACCGGATTACCCACAAGTATCGTAATCTAACCCAAAAAAAATAGACCCGAAACCCGATAAGTTCAATAGTTGGCCCGCCCGAACTTGAGCCCTATATCTTTAAAAAGAGGGTTTGAATTTGCCCTCAAATCCATTACCCCACCTAAAGCCCTACCCATCAAGCCCACATAGCCCACCCACCCTTCATTTGAAAAAATGTTATTCTTTTAAACCATTAAATTTGAAATTTTGAAATAAGTCTTCCAATGTTAAAATTTGAAGTTTTAAAAATTTAAATACTATAAATAATGTATTATTTTATTTTGCATGTATTAAACATACAAGTTTTAAATGATATAGTAATGCAAATGATGGATAAGTGGGTATGTATCAACCTAGTTAGGATGTATTTGTTCTATTGGATGTAGTTCATTCCCTAATTAAAAATAAAATTATTCATTATTTTATTTTTATCCATTTTGACTCTATTTTTTATTCAAAAATATAATTTATAAAAATATTAAGTTATAAAAATATTTATTATTTTTAAATAAAATTATAAATACAAAAGACCGCGAGTAAGCCTGTCTCGAAGCTCGATATAACCCGCGCGATAACTCAGCTAGATAATAACTTGAGCTTACACTATTCAGATTTCACCCAAAAAAAAATTTGCAAGCCTAGCGCAGTCCGGCCCATGGACACCCCTCTGCGCGAGGGACGTTATCTGATAACAAAAATATAACGGTAAACACCAAAACTTAATGGTGTGAAACCTGATAACAAAACTCTCCAAGGTCTTTCTCCCTCTTTCCTACTTCAGTGATGTGTACAGAACAGAACTGGCACGCAGCATTTCTAGTGAGATTAAAACTGTCGAGTCTATTTAAGAATTAGGGAAAATTATATTTAAACTCTTTAAAATTTATCACTTAATTACTTAGACCCCTAACATTTAAAATATTATACACAGACTGCTCGAAGTTTGTATACACATAACACTTACACCCCTATTGTAAATATATCAGTTAATAAATTATACTTAAACCCTCCAGAAGTTTGTAGGTATATAATACTTAGACTCCTTAAGTTTAAAATATTATACTCCTTAGACTCCTTGTTTGATTTTTTAATTTTATTCCAATAAATAATATAAATGTATGCTAATTATAATTTTTTTAAAAAAAATTAAAATTTTATTTCAATAAATAATATAATAGAACATAAATTTTGGTTGTCAAATTTAACATATTTGATATTCTATATTTGATTAGAATATTTTTTGTAATAGAACATGAATTTTACATCTAAATTCATGTTCTATTATGTCATTTATTGAAATAAAATCAAAAAAAAAATCTAATTTTTTTAAAAAGAAATCACAGTATATAATTATTATACTATATATTAGAATAAAACTAAAAAAATAAACAATGGTTCAAATTGTAACTGACACAATATCTTTTAATTTTAATTGGAGTAATTTGGTATTTTAATTTAGTCGTTTAAATAACCAAATTAAATTCAAATAGACAATATAATTGAATACTAATTACGTTTTTTAAGAAAAAATTAAATTTTTAATTTTAATTTTATTTCAATAAATAATACAATAGAAAATGAATTTTGATTGTAAAATTTAAAATATTTGATATTTTATCTTTCATTGGAACATATTTTGTCTAAATATAATATTTTAAACTTAAAGAGTCTAAGTATTATATACTTATAAACTTCAAGAAGTTTAAGTATAATTTATTAACCGATATATTTCTAACAAAAATATAAGTGTTACACGCGTACAAATTTCAAGGAGTGTGTAATATTTCAAATATCAAGAAATCTGAGTAATTAAATGACAATCCTCAAAGAGTCTAAGTGTAATTCTCCCTAAGAATTAAGATACAGCAGGTTGAAAATCATGTTCTCCAGCAAAAGATTCAGAACACGAATTGGGAATGTTCTATTATCTACAATTTTTTTGTATCAAATCTTTGTAGACTGTTAAATTTACTGGGTCCAACCGACTCCCACTAAACAACCAGTGAAAGAAAATTGTGCCAAATCATTTAATATAAAAAATTTAGTACAAACGGCTTTACACGGTGCTCTAAACACCTTGAGAATCTACAGAAGAATGTAATGTCCACACCATCTCATTATATTCAACTTACGAAATAAAAAAGAAACTTTGTAGTGTCATAAAAAGGCTGCCGATAGATTACAATAGTAACAGAACTAGCAAAATGTGGAAAGTCCTGATCCAAAAATTAAGAGGTTTAGGCACAATGGGCCCAAGAACGTGTTAAACCAGTTGTACGGACAATATTGAACTCTTTACACAAAANCAGAAACTTTGTAGTGTCATAAAAAGGCTGCCGATAGATTACAATAGTAACAGAACTAGCAAAACGTGGAAAGTCCTGATCCAAAAATTAAGAGGTTTAGGCACAATAGGGCCCAAGAACGTGTTAAACCAGTTGTACGGACAATATTGAACTCTTTACACAAAAGGGGAGGAGTGAGTTCAACTCTTCATCCATATCCCGACATCAAAATGACTAAACTGAAATATGTTAGTATTATCAGGAGCGGGCTCGACTTCTTCCAGTCGACACAAAAACAAACAACCCACTAGGTAAATCAGCTGTGCCTGAAGTTTATGACTTACGTGTAAGGAAATAAGTAACCAAACACGTTACACATCATCCAACACACACATAACAAACATATTAATAGTGTTTTACATGCACAAACACAGGTTCAAAAGTTCAATACTACAGACAAGTGCCCCAAGCATACTAAAATAGGGATATTCCTTATTATACTGATGTACAATGCATAAAAGCTAAAAATGAAATCAAAAACCAAAATGGATCCAGAAATGCGATTTCTATTCTTTACACATGAAAAAAAAAATGACACCCTGTCACAGATCTGATCATTTGGATGAAATAATTGTTTTTGAATACTTTCTATTGCTCTAGAAAATGCACATGAATAACAAGCAAAATCCAAACATCAATTATCAAACAAACAGATCACTTAAAGTGATGATGACAATAAATGCACAATTCCTATTTTACTTATTACTTCAGAAGATAGTGATTCAATGCCGTTACATATTGAAACCAAATTGCGAAAGAAATAGGCCTCATTAGTCTATTAAAAAGATTGCCGATGAAATTCAGTGCACAAGTAAACTAGCCACAACCTAAGATTACATCTCACAATTCTATCAGGTTGAATTGAATAACAAGCATCCAAAATTTCCAGATATATATGTCAAAATCAAATCCGCCAATTCATTGAAAATTTACCAAACCAATCCCACGGAAAAACACATCAACATAGACGGAAAACAAACAAGACGAAGCTTGAAAAACCATGGTGAACCAACATAATAATCTTGATCGATCCCCACTACCACCACCTCACACACAAAAAATAGTAAAAAAACTGACTAGGAAGCACGGATACAAATATGAGATACAAGTATAATATAATATGAATAGGACGATACAATTAAACCTCAAAAAATAAAATATAGGTACGGTCTGGAAACTTCTATAAATATACATTTTTTATACTTTTATTATTATGTAATGACTTTATAACTATAATTTTTAATGATTCTTTAACAATAATAAATAATATTAACAATTTTTTATTTTTAAAACGTAATATATAGTCTCACTATGGTAAGAATGAACGTTATTAATTAAATGAATAAAAATCAATATTTAACTATATTGTTTGCATAATCAAATCTCTTTGAAAATGTGATAATGAATAATGCTTGAAAAAAATTCATGTGTCTTCCAAGTCATATGAATTTTGTTGATGTATTGCATTATATATGAATTCAAAGGAGAGCGGTAAAGATTAAAACTAAAAATTACATATTATTCTCTGCATATAGAAGTACCCATATACTTTATTTATTATTAGATAGGTTTGATATGGTATGTATCTGACAAGTATCTAGAATATCCAAGGTTTATTGTATTCAATACGGATATGTCATACTTAAAGATGTATCCGTGCTCAATAGAAAACTGAGAAGCAAAGGGCTCAGTGCAACGAAACATGAACACAATGACCTTCAATTTTTCAATCAGAATTCATCACGTTTATGTTCCAAATATGATGATAATCGAAATCCACTAACATAAATTACATCTCCGCATGCAAAAAATTACAAATCATTCGAGCTCAAATACCTAAAAATCGGAGATTCGTAAAAAGTAAAATCCATAAATTTAAGCCAACAAAATCCTCAGAAATTCCAAAATTGAAAATAGAGGAACATTATAGAAACATTAATCGAGACAAAGAGCTTGAATTATAACAGAAAACAGAGCCGAAAAAACAAACCCGAGCTCTTTGTATCAAATCAATCCTGAGGAATCTCGACATCACCATCAGCAATCTCTTGCTGAAGATCCTTTGGATTCTTCCCATCAACCGTACACCCAACCGAGACACACGTCCCGAGAATCTCCTTGACCGTTCCACTCAAATCCTTAGCCATGGATCTCGGCCTCATGATCTTCGCGATCTCAATCACATCATCCAAACTGATATTCCCAGTGTGCTTAATGTTCTTGGTTTTCTTGCGGTCGCGCTCTGGCTCTTTCAGGGCTTTGATGACGAGAGCTGCGGCCGACGGAACGACGGAGACCTTGGCCTGACGATTCTGGACGGTGAGCTTGACGGTGACGCGAAGGCCTTTCCAGTCCTTGGCGGTTTCTTTGGCGATGTCTTCACCGATTTTCTTTGGGGACAGACCAAGTGGACCGATTTTGGGGGCGAGAGAGCTGGCAGCTCCGACTTCACCTCCGGTGACCCGGACGTAGACGTCGACCACCTGTGATGGGTCGAACTTTGGCGGCATTTTTTGAAGGGGGCGGCGGTTGGAGAGAGAGAGAGAGGGGGTTGGAGTTTGAGGGTGCGGCGTCGGAGGTGGTCAGTGTGTGGTTTTAGGGTTTATATAAGGTAGGGTTTTGCAGGTGAAGACTAAAATGACGGAACTAAACTGGGTTTTGGTGTTTGTAAAGGCCCAAATAAAATGCGACTTAGCCACTCAGAGGACTGAGGCCTGTTTGTTAACGTATACAGTTTTTGGGTTTTTAGAAAATAAAAAACAGAATTAGTTTTAGATTTTCATTAATAAAAAATGAAAACAGAAAATATGTTTGGTTGTTTTTATAGTTATAAAAAATTTTAAAAACAAAAATAAAAAACTCGTTTAGCTATAACACTATTATTTATTTTATTTTATTTTTGTGACTATGCGTGTTATCATTGCACAAGAGTCATATTAATCTTCTCTGTATCGTTATAATTTTATCAAATATTCCTAAAGGAACTTGTATACATTAACATAATTCTATGCTATTAAAAAGTTAGAACAATAATCCATAACTATCATCTAATAGTTTTCAAACATACTACAAATATATCCCATGATTTTCAAAAATTCCACATAAATATCTCTTACTTCATAGTTATATTAATACTAATAAAACCACATTAAAGTTAGCACCACCAACAACAAAAGTCATAGTTCATACACACCAACAACAATAATGTCTATCAATGCCCATGCAGTCATGCCCACAATTCATCTCTCACACGAACCATCTGACGAAGTTGGTTTGGACTGATATCCACTTTAATTAAGTTTTGTGAAGTCAATCCCGAATTGCCAATACAATCCCTATTTTCATCACTGAACTTATCAAATAATCGGTCTTGACGAGCATGCATTCTGATGAAGTTGTGCACGGTACAATAAGTTGTTGGTATGTATTATTGTGTTTTTATGGGATAAGGGGGCATCTGCTTGACAATGGAAAATCGAGCCTTTAGTACTCCAAATCAATGTTCAATGACATTCCGAAGAAATGAGTGACGGTAATTGAATAAATCTATCTTACTTTTTGGACGTCGACCACTACCTATATACTCACGTAAATAATATCTCTCTCCACAATATGGTGACAAAAAAACCGGCATGTTCGTATATCCAGAGTCAACAATATAATACTTATCTGTCAAATAGTACGCTTGTAAATTAACATGATAATTTGTATAAATAAAAATATGGGTACAATTGGAAAGTTATTTTCTGGGTCATGAAAAGACTCAATTAATACTCTTGAGTCATTGGCAGTTCCTTCCCAACCGCTAATCACAAATGTAAATCGCATGTCGAATGAATATGCACACATTACATTCTGTGTTGGTTCAATTTTTTTGCCACGATATGATATTTGGTCATCCACTGGTACACGCGCATTAGCATGCGTACCATGTATAGCGCCAATACAATTCTAACATGACACATAAACTATTAATATGAATAAATTATGTGCATAACAAATACCAAGTAATAAAATATATCTTACCTTAAAGAATGGATAGTACTTTGGATTGTACCGAATCTGAGGTAGAATAATATTGAAATCAGGAGATCTGATAATATGGACACCAAGTCTACAAACAGCATTCAAGACACGATGAAAGTAAGAATGGATAGTCTGGCCTGAATACTGGAACCTCTTAGCTACTATCTGAATTCTCTCATTGTGAGATATAATTAGGAAAAATATAGCCACTTGTTATTAAACTTTCACATACCTAGAGCTATTCAAATTTCCTTTACTTTTTAGTTCCTCACAAAATAACACAAACACGTTAGGGTCCATCCTGAATTGATCATTGCAACTATCTTCATGTCCATTAATTAATTCTAAGACATAGTCATGACCCCGAAGTTGAGATGTTCTACATGGTTGTTTGAAGCTACCCTTCAAGGTGGCTAACTATTCTGATATAATTGAAATGTTCAAGCAAGTGAAAATCAAAATTCCACTCCTCGACGACATAAAGCAAATTTCATCATGTGCAAAGATCTTGAAGGACTTGTGCACAATGAAGAGAAAAATCAATGTCCATAAGAAGGCATTCCTCACCAAGCAAGTGAGCTCAATCTTGAGGACAAACACCCCACCAAAATTTAAGGACCTCGGCTACCTCATAATTGCTATCATAACAGGGAATTACCGGGTGGAGCAAGCACTTCTTGATTTGGGGGCTAGTGTCAACCTCCTACCCTACTTGATATACAAGAAACTCCAACTTGAAGAGTTGAAGCCAGCTTCAATCACTCTTCAATTAGCGGATTGAAGCATTTGAACACCGAAGGGAGTGGTTGAGTATGTTTTGGTTCAAGTAGATAACTTTTATTTTCCTATCAATTTTATTGTGCTTGAAACTCACCTTGTTACTAACCCTTGCTCCCAAATTTCTGTTATATTAGGTAGACCATTCCTTACTACCTCTAATGTTATTATTAATTGCAGAAATGGTCTTATAAAGCTTACTTTTGGGAGCATGGCCATGGACTTCAATGTGTTCAACTTGAGTAAACAACCGAAGGATGATGAGGAAGTGCAAGAAGTCAATAGGATTGACACCTTGGTAGAGGAGCACTTGGGGCTGTTGGACATGTTGAAATTGGAGGAGGAAGAGGTTAAAGAGCAAGAGGAGCCAGAGAGCTTGAAAGGGTTGGAAAAATGGACTCCTACATTTGAGAAACTTTCATGTCTAGACAAGAATATTTTTTTCCCATCGACCGTACAAAATTCCATCTTGGAGTTGAAGCCATTACCATCCAATCTTAAGTATGCATATCTTGGGGATGATAAGACTTTTCCAGTGGTGATAAGCTCAACTTTGGAGGAAAGTAAGAAAAGGATCTCTTGAAAGTGTTGAGGAGGTATAAGGGAGCGATTGGTTGGACAATTGCCGACATCAAGAGGATAAGCCCCTCATTTGCACACACACATCTACCTTGAAGATGACTCAAAGCCATCCCAACAACCACAACAGAGGTTGAACCCAATTATGAAAGACGTAGTGAGGGATGAAGTGCTAAAGCTACTTGATATAGGTATCATTTTTCCAATTGCCGATAGTACATGGGTTAGCCCCATGCAAGTATTACCCAAGAAGTTGGGAGCCACGGTCGTTGCAAATGATGAGACTGAGATAATTCTAACATGGGTGATTACAGGTTAGAGAGTGTGTATTGATTACCGAAAGCTCAACTTGTGCACAAGAAATGATCACTTCCCTTTGTCATTCCTCGACCAAGTGTTGGAAAGAGTAGTTGGGCATCTATTTTACTACTTCTTGGATGGCTACTATGGGTATAACCAGATTGAGATTGCTTTGGGGGATCAAAAGAAGACCACTTTCACTTGACCCTATGGTACTTTTCCCTACGGATGCATACCTTTCAGGTTGTGCAACTGCTTGACAAATTTTCTTGTTATTTCTTAACCTATAAATATCACCTTTTAGCATGTATAGTATATGAATAAAGGGGAGTGTCACTCTCCTAGGGATAATGTCAAAAGAAAGGACAATGGAATGGTGGATGAATGAGATTTTAAATGTGAGTATATGTGAACAAAAATGTTCCCCAAGAGCAAGGAGACTTTCGCGGATCGTGTTTTACTTGGTGGTATTCCAATGTTGTTTCCACGGGGAAGGAAGTAAACTGAGGGGAGGTGATTTTGGGAGAAAGAAAGTGTAAAATCTTTGATTGTTGGAAGTTGTTTGGTGAAGTTGTTTTGATGCTAGTAAAATGAGAAACAAATATTGGCAAATCCAAGAGGTCACTCCAATAGGAATACCGTCTCAACTCGAAACCCTCCTCCAATAGAGCATGAATGAACGATTGATTCATGGGAAGCTAGGGGTAAGATTGGT